TTTTTTTGAATGTCCAGAGGACCAGATTGAACTTTTTTGGATTTTTCTACCTGGATTATTGAGCATGCATCAGGATATTTTAAATGATTTAGCACCTGCTGCACCTGTGTGCTGCCCGCAGGTGCAGGGAGAAGCTCCCTCCTGCAACGTGTCATCTCTGCCACGCCCACTGTTCCGCTGCAATCACACTGATCACCAGTGTCGCTCCCAATCTCCCCTCCCTCTTATACTGTACACGTGTCTGCCCATGGGCAGAAGAAGCCACATTTAAAAGAGAGACGCTTTCTTTCGTTAGGAGGAAGACCCGTAAATTAAAACAGTAGTGAACAAGAATATTTATTTAAAGTTTTATCAGAAGAAAGTCAGCTGAAGTCAAGTCTGAAGTCATGTTGTTCCCTCCCAACGACACGATCACAAACCACTGCATCGACCTCTCCACTCTAACCCTGTCAGAAAAACAAAGAGTCACTAATCTGGGCGTGATAATGGACCCTTCCCTGAAACTTAACAATCATGTAAACATGATTAAATCATGCTTCTTCCAGCTGAGGCGGCTGTCTAAACTGAAGCCCATATTGTCCAAAAAGAACCTGGAGACAGTAATACATGCATTCATTACATCTAGGCTTGATTACTGCAATTCACTCCTGTTTGGTATCAGTCAGACCTCCACTGCACGACTACAACTGGTCCAGAATGCAGCAGCCCCATTTTTAACCAGTACAGGCAAAAGAGAGCACATTACACCAGTCTTGGCCTCACTGCACTGGTTACCGGTTCACTTTCGAATCCAGTTCAAAATACTCATGTATCTCTACAAATCATTGAACAGCTCTGCACCCTCCTATCTCACTGATCTGCTGCAGCCATATGTCCCACAGCGTTCTCTGAGGTCAGCGGACCAGTTGCTCCTCACAGTTCCAGGAACTCGTCTCAAGCGCAGAGGTGACAGGGCCTTCTCTGTAGCAGGACCAAGACTTTGGAATGAGTTATCTCTGCTTGTCAGACAGGCCCCCTCCCTCTCAGTTTTTAAATCCCGCTTAAAAACCCACTACTATTCCCTGGCTTTCAACGCTGTATGACCTGTGCTGAACCTGTATGCATCACACTGTGTTAGTCATTATGTTAATACCTGCTATTATTTTGTTTCATTGTTTAGAACAATCTAAACAATTGTTTCTAAACATTGTTTAGAATATTGCAAGAGTGTGGAAAGGGTTTAAAATGCCTT